TATAAGATATTACAGTTATATAGCTTTAAGGTTAATATAAAGATAGTTAAAGCTACTAATAATAATCCTAATACTTATAATTATAAATACCTTATAAACTTCTTTAAGATAGTTAAAGTGGCCTAAGGGGAATATTAATAAGTTAGAAAGGGTGAATCTAATATTAAAAGTATAGCTAATAATAGTAAGGCTCTTCCTATATTAAGACTGCGCAGTAGGGTAGAAGATGTTATCTATTATAGCGTAGACGTCTAAACAGTAGAGGAGAGGGAGATAAAAGAGACTAATAGAAATAGAGGTAGCTAGAGGAAAACAGTAAAGGCTTATTATGATATTTAAGTCTAATAGAGGAGTATAGAGATGAAGAAGATATCTAAGTCTGAACTATAGTTATACAACCTAAAGGCTATTAGTAGAGGGTGAAGGGACTAGTCTAGCTTTTGCAGTTAATACTAGTTAAATTTCATAATATAAAGCTAGCAGCCTATAAAGCTATATAATATTTCTAGCTTTAAACTTTATAGTAGATATAAAAAGGTGCTTAATATCTTATTGGCTACCTTTTTTTCCCCCTAAAATACTTATTTTAAGCTAATTTTAATCTCTCCTTTAAATAGTGATATATAGCTTATTATAAATATATATATATAAATATATATCACTTATTATAAATATATATATAAATATATATCACTTATTATAAATATATATATATAATCTTTATATTTTAAGTTTATATGCGTTATACGCTATTATTACTAATATCCCTCTATACATATTAAGCCTCTATAGCTATATTATTATTATTTTATGCAGAAGGCTTTTTATCTACTATAGTAATATCTAGCTATAACTATAGGTTTTTTAATAAGCTTTTAGTAGCTAAGTATATATTACAAAAAGCCTATAATATTACTAAAATATATTCAAAGATCTCTATATTATACTATTTAAGGTTTTTATTATAACTTAGCTAGTTAATATAGTATTATAATTTCTATTAGTAAATTTATGATTATATACCCTTATTAACTTTAAATTTAAAGCTATTAATATATTTAATAAATAGTAGTAATATAGGATACTATTTGAGTAATAAGTTATTATTAATTTCCTATAGCTAGCTTAAGTTAAAAGTATTATATATTTAGTAGCTAAATAGTAAATCTATAACCTAAATGCTCTTACAGCCTACTGTTTTAATTTTATATGGTTTATCCTAAAGTATTAATAGTTTTAACTAAATTGGAGAACGCTAGCTTTTTATGAATACCTAAACTAAGTTATTTATAGTAAGGTTATCTAAACAGTAGCTTTAGTTTACTATATATATATATAAGCACTAAATGATGATTATTTACTTTAAAGTGATACGCTAAACGTTAAATATTTAGCTAATTATAGCTTAAATATTCTTATAGTTCAGTTTATCATAGGTATTATTAAACTTTATAGTATATTTACTTTAGTTATAGCTTATTCTTAGTTTATAGCTTTATTTAATCTTAAATAGCGATAAGTCTACAGCTTTTGTAAAAGCGTGTATAATAGAGGTAATGTTATTAAGAGTAGGGGTAGTATTTAATATAATAAAAGGGGGAAACTTTTCGTTTTGTTGATTATTATAATAGAATTCCTCGTATTCAATAATAACCATTTATAACCAGTATAAATAGTTATTGATAATATGAAAGAAATAATACTAATAATAATGAATAGTAGGTAGTAATAATAAGTAGTAGTTAAATGGATAAAACTGTTGAATTGCTTGCTTCTTTTTCAATCTGTTCTAAGTGGAAAAATCCATCATATATATAATACATTTTTCCTTCGTAAATTATTACTTAGTTTAGTAATTACTTAATTAGGTAATTACTATGATAGGTAATTAACTGTAAAAACCTTATTATAAAGTTAATTATTACGGCTTTATTTTATCCGATTTGGGTATTCTAGATCCATAGTATTATTGTAGTTATAGTTTATAGATTTGTTACGGATTATTAGTTTCCGTTGTTTTGGTTTCAAATCTTAACTTAATATTAACTTTAGTTAATAATAACTATATTATTAACTTTTGGGGAATTGTTATTCCGTTAATATATACTTTTTATGGTACCTAACCTAATAAATAGTTTTTATTCGTTTTAGCTAATCGTAGGAATTACTATAATAAATAATTTATACGATTGTACTTTTTGTTTTGATTAGATAATGTTATGGTTACTTTATTCCTTTTAGTTATATTAATATGTGTAGTTTTACTAGTTACACTAGTATTAGTAATCCTAGCTTTACATCTTTTTTATAGCGCTAGTAATATTTAGTTCTACTTAAATTCTCCTTTAGGGGGTACTTAGTTAGGACTTTAGGGGTTTTAGAAATTAAACTAAATTAAAAGTATAAAGTTGCTATTAAGGTAATATTATAAATAATAACATTATCTAATAAATAGTATATATAACTATATAAATAAGTAAAAATAAAGCTAAAGAATTATATAACTTCTAAGCTAGTAGCTAGAAAGGTAAATAAGAAGTTATTATAATATAAGTTTTAAATTAAAATATAGTAAGTAGTTAGAAGCTATTAATGACTAGTTATATTAATATTTTTTTTTTAAAAACTAAACATAAGTTTAGATATTATTATTAAGGTTAAATTATAATAAAAATAATGTAATATAAGCTATAATAGATATTTATATAAGTTAGTTTAGCTAACTTATATAAATAAGGAGTTTTTTATATTTAATATTAATATTAAGCTATAAAAGCTTAAAAAATATCTTAAGCTTTATTATTATTATATTTATTATATATATCTTAATATATTATATATCTTAGGGCTACTAGCCTTATATTATGAAATTTAACTAATATTAACTATAAAAGCTAGACCGATCCCCTCACCCTCTGCTAATAACCTTCAGGTCACATAATTTTCAGACTTAGACATCTTCTTCACCTCCACACTCCTCTATCAGTCTATCAGGACTTCAAACATCATAATAAACCTCAACTGTCTTCCTCTAGCTACCTCTATCTCTACGCTATATTCAATCCGCACCTATCTTCCTCTCCTCCGCCGTTCAGACGTCTACGCCGTAATAAACAACATCTTCCGCCCTACTACGCAGTCTTAACGTAGGAAGAGCCCTGCCACTATTAGCTATACTCTTAACATATTCACCCTTCCTACCTTACTAACTAATCAGGCTGCCTTAGCTATCTTTAAAAAGCTTATGAAGTAATTATAAATATTAAGATTATTATTAATAGCTTTAACTATATCTATATTAATCTTAAGGCTATATAACTTTAATATATCGCTCTCGTTAGCTATTTTAAGTAAATATTTCTAAGTGAATTTAAAAAGAGTTTTCTTTTTAATAAAGAGAAAGTTACTATATGTAGAGCTCTTAATTTTATTGATATTAATTTTATAGATTAAGTTATTTAATATAGCTTTATTTAGCTTATATAGAGTTATAATAAATAAGGAAAATAGAAAAGTTATTATAGTTACTATCTACATAAGAGGATATAAAGAATAAATTTAAAACTTTATTTAAAGTAGTAATTAAGTTTTTATATTATAGCTATAAAAACTTTTTGAGCTATATAAAAAGTTATGTTATTAAGTTTATACTTTTAAGTATAGGTTTAAGCTATTATTAAGTTCTTATTATAAATATTATTAGCGTTTTATATTATAGATAATGCTTTTATAATATTACGAACGACGCTCTTATAATATTATAAATAACGCTCTCACTAATACGTTTTACTGCTCTACTACCTACCTATTTACTCTCTTCTACTAAGGATAAATTAAGCTAAGCGTTAACGACTAGTTATATTAAGATTCATTTATTTATTTTTATTGAGATTAAGTATAGGTTAAAGTGCTATTATTAAGTTTTAGTACTATGAAAAAAGTGTAGAGTGAACTGCAATACTTATTTATATAGGTTAACTAGACTCCTAATATATTATATAGCTTTTTATTATATAGCTTATATTGTTATTATTTTATTTATTTATCTAATTAGAGTGTAATTTAACGTTATATAAAAGTTTCTTTATTAAGAATAACTAACAAAATATTAATATTAACTTCTATAATTTAGTAAATATATAAGTAAATATCTTTAAATAATAGTATTTTTAACATAAAGGCTATATGATAAATACTAATATAATATTAAAGCTTATAAAAGCTACTATATAAAGCTAACTATAGCTATACTAATTAGTTATATTACTTACAGTTTACCTCTATACACCCCCTTTAGCGTCTATAAGGTCTAGTAATTTATCATATAAATCTAGCACGATCTAGGTTCTACGCCGGATAAACATTTCCCTTCCCATCTACACCCAGGTCTAGTTTTAATTAGTTGGCTCTGATCGCACACTGCCTAATAATATCCGTTGAGCATATATGAGTTCGAGACGCTGCAATGTTAAAATTGTCTACAGATTTGAAATGACGTTTCTTTGTTAGCTCTTATGGGCACCATCTTCGTTTTCGCACAATCCCGGTTGAATTGAGATAATCCCCTTCTCGCAGCATACATCAGCGATCGAATAGTGCTTGAACGTTATTCTGCAATCCACACTATGGAAATCCTCCCAGGACTGACTTGGGCCTCCTGTACTGCCATCTCCATCGTAAGCAGTCATCTATCTCACGTTGTCGCCGACCCCTGATGTTGGCAGGTCATTTTGTATACTGCTTGGGCATGCATATACAATGTCTTCATCCACCCTCTTGCTAGATATCCCGGGCCCTTGTTGGCGAGAATCTCACCAGTAGGTAGTCTCAAACACAGTCTTGACACTTCAGATTGATCCGGATATAGGTATATAGCATCTGGGGGCTTTTCCGAGGACGGTGGCCATTTGATGTCCACCAGCTGCATCTGAAATATGGTCAGTTACCTGCATGATCATGGGAATCAGTCTTGACAATTGATAGGCCCAATCGTCCGAATTATGCCAAATGAGCTTTCCTTCACGGAGCCACAAGCATGGAAGGACATATATGGCCACCGCCAAGGGCACCCCCAATTCCATAAAGACCGTACGTCAAGTTGAGGCACCACGTTCGTCCAGAACCTAGGAATTTGGAGAACTAACATTCGGTAGCTATCCAGTGAGATACCTGACGTTGACCTATGCTGGAAAGGCTGACACCGGACGCGTGCGCTAATCAATTCCACAGCGTCGGATCCGTGCAGGACATACCGGGATCTACAACATTGACCATGGCTGATGATGCAAACCATACCCGCCAAAGGCGAGCGCTCTCGCACGCCTTTAGCCAGAAGGCATTACTGGAGCAAGAGAGCATCATCCGCGGCTATGTAAACCTCTTCGTTGATAGGCTGAGACCGTTCTCTGACAGCCACACGGCAATCAATATTTGCGACTGGTTCAGTGGGTTTCATCGATTGATTCCATGGAAAAATCCGTCTAATCACCTGCGTTCAAGACTTCACAACGTTCGATATCATAGGTGACATGGCTTTCGGCGAACCGTTCGGGTGTCTCAAAGACGGTGTCTTCCATTCATGGGTATCCCTCATCACACAGACCATCAAGGCTGGGGCGTACGAGCAGGCTACGAGGCGAATGTTCAAGACCGGAAGTCTTCTGCAGAAGGTGCTTGTTAATCTCATTCCAAGTGATCTCAGAGAGAAAAGGTTCCGCCACTTGGAGCTGAGCAGAGAAAAGTGCCTCAAGTAAGGAATTTCCCAGACACCTGCCACTACAACTGCTGACAATAATGGTAGGCGAATTGACGAGGGCCTCCGGAGAGAGCACCGAGATTTTCTATATTACATTCTCCGCCAGAACGAAAAGGGCGGAGTCAGCCAGGACGAGATCATCCTCAACAGCGCCCTGTTCATAGTTGCTGGTTCCGAGACCACAGCTTCTCTTCTCTCGGGCCTAACGATGTGGCTTATGCGCACCCCACACGCGTATAAGAGACTCACGGAAGAGATACGATCCAGTTTTGCATCTGCCGAAGACATGAAGTTCCTGGATCTTCAGGAACTTCCCTACATGAATGCGTGTATTGACGAGGCGTTGCGCATCTTTCCACCTGTGCCGACGGGTCTCACGCGTACTGTGCCGGAGCACGGCGACACCGTTGCCAACCAGTTCCTTCCTGGCGGAACTACGGTATCTGTATACAGCTGGGCAGCGACTCACTCGCCCTACAACTTCTCCCGCCCCAATGACTTCGTTCCGGAGAGATGGATAGAGTCTGCTTTTGCTAGTGAGAACAAGGAATCCAGTCAGCCATTTTCTCTCGGCCCACGAGGATGCATAGGCAGACATCTGAGCTACCTGGAGCTCAGGCTGATACTCGCGAATTTGCTGTGGCACTACGATATCCAGCGTGCGCCTGTTCCCTTAGGAGAAGAAGACATGTGGGACGCAGATGGGGATTTAAAACATGTGAAGGCTTTCAACACATGGAATAAGCCCCCTCTTATGTGCACACTGACCCTTGCACAGAGGTAGTATAGCGTAACATATTCAATTGGAAGCCCACCCGTACCTTTCGCGCAAACTCATAGTCTCCAAGCGCGCCCTCCCCGTTTCTGGTTTGACGCAGCACTGCACTCATAGAGCAGTCAGGAGTATTCTAATGGATCACTACGAGTGTCTCTGATAGACTGCCATGTCATCCATGGTCAATCGCGTTAGCGATGGAACACCACCGTTAGATGTGCCCTGCCGGAACCTTGATATCTTCGCACGGATTATCTCCCCGGAATAGGAGGCCTTTGCCTCCATCGCAAGCATAGTTTCGACGCCAAGGTTCTCGGACTACTCTCACCGGAAGATTCATAGAAACGCATGTGATAGCGATGGGCCCAAGTACATGCAATGCTACAGTTCTGAGAGTCAAACTCACCGCACAATCCGGTGTGTTTGGGTGGTCATCTCGCTTCAAACCACAGTGATGTCCTTGGATCATAAGATACCTGCAATGACGAAGCTCGCTTTCTGGCAGGGAATATGGAGATAGAAACGAGCGAGATGCGAGAAGTTCGTCGACATGAACCCAAGCCTGCTGGAGGGCAGGTCCGAGGCATGATCATCATCAGACAATTGTGTCAGCCCACGTTCTTCACGATACGCATGTTCCTTTGTGGAACGGCCATGATTCCGACCTGGAAGGGCCTCTGAGCCATGCTGTGAACGCCTGAGTGCAGATAGCCAGATTGATGCCACCCTCGACAATGGCACTATCCAGTCAAGACCATTCTCAAGATGACATAGATGGAGTGACGTCGTTAAATTCTCCGTACCGCTTGTATGTGACCAATGCCTTGACCGCGATGCGCCTCGTTTATGCCTACCACTTCCTATGCAAATATACGTAATGTCTAGTGTCTGTTAAACTCCTCGTCAAAGAAAAAGGAAGACGACTTCATGGTAAGCCATCCCCAGAAACACGCACAGAATGTGCTGGCTGAGGGATCGAATATGAATGAAAGAAGTCGAAGCAAGTGCCTTGTAATAGTGCTGTACCAACACTTTTGGGTATATTGCACCGGTCTAAGTCTTCTACTTACGAAAAATGGTATCAAGACTGATGAATTTGGACAACAATGAAAGCCGCAGGAACCCCGAGCACGTATCCGTCAATCATCACCTTTCCATACGCTCGTCATGGATAAGGGTCACATTATACCGCTCCTCTCCTCTCCATACCCTACTCACCGAGTTGCACTTCGAGACCGCAACACGCATGTCGGACATCAAGCCACCAGGGCCACTGGCAAATACGGCCGTTCTACCAGAGGCAGTATTATCCACGAAGTTCCGAACAATGGTGTCTAGCTGGGGATGCCCAGAGGCTTCGCCGCTCGTCGTCTCCGTCACAACGCGTGACAATACTTGAGCCTGCTTCTCATCGGAACCAGCTGCGTCCTCCGACGTAGATCCAGATTCAGAAGCCTCAATGGCCTTGCTAGATCGGCTCGGGGGTTGACTGCGAGCATCGCGCGTTGCAAAGATGCGGATAACCACCTTTGGACCATCACTGGTCTCTAGGGCATCAAGTTCGGGTTTGATCCAAGCAACGTCGCTCATGTGTCTTACGACCCAGACAAGCTCGAGCTTCCGAGAATTCCCCGAGTACCTCTTGAGGCTTATCAAAGCCGGAAGAACGTACGTCACTCCAGTACCACCAGCGACGCAGAGAATATTGACATCCGAGGTGATATTTCGAATGATTGGGTCTCCGTATGGCCCCGTCAGTATCACTGGCGTCGTGGGCGCAGCATGTTCCTTGTCGCCGGAGAGGGCGGCAAGCTTTCGTGCGGCGATCTCGGCCACCTTTCTGGTCTCGCCGCCCTTGGCACGGAAAATGTATGAGTGCTTCGTCTTTCCGTTCACCGTCAGGGGCGCGTTAAGAGGAGTGAACGGGTGAGACTGCCAAATACTGCTTTCGGAGAAACACAGATAGAAGTGCTGGCCGATGTGCCATGCGTCATGAGGATGTTCGAAGTCGAGTCGGACGACATCGCCCTCCTCCGCGTCCGGGAAAATCGTCAAGGCAGCCTGGGCAGCAGAGAAGCCCATGCCCTTGCCCTCGATGAAGTTATGGTGTAGTAGAGCCGTTCTGATACCACGGGCAGCGCGATCCAGGAACCAAAGAACGAGAGATGGAACCATAAAGCACTCGAGATTCTTCCAGTGACCGATACAAGCTCCAATGTATAGCATCGCAAGAACATAGTGAGACTTCCGGAAGAACTCATATCCCGTCAGGCGAATAACCGGAGGCAGACTTAGGACGTAGAGTGCCATGAGGAAGAACAGGGCGATGCAGCCCCAGATCATGTATAGCTGGGAGATCCACTCATTTGCGACGGACGGTTGAGGCTGGTACAGTCGAACTTCGACCACTAACCACGCGATAGTGTGCAGACTTGACTGAATGACAATGATGTATCCTAGCCAGCGGTGAAGGAAGTTGAAGTTCTGGTAGGGGACTCCGGTGAGAAGAGAGAGGATCGACTCTCTGGTAGCAAAGAGAACGGTCAAGGGCGTGAGAGCGTAGGCAAGGATTCCGAGACGATCAGACCAGGGGCCGAGAGTAGTTCGAGTGTTGTAGACCCCTGGCATTTTCTTGACGGGCGTTACCCAAGTGGTGTAGATCATGCCGACGAAGGAGAAAACCAGAAGGTAACCAGCCAATACGGTCAGGATTAATACCTGAAGACGCGTGGTGCGTCCAAAGATGGGTCGGACACAGTCGGGAAGGAGATAGCGGTTGACCGCAGACGAGGTGGCTTGGCGGAGGCGGTGGACGAAGCTCTTGCTCGCGCGTGTGTCTTCTAGGAGGGCAGCACGAAGGACGTCTTCCTCGGAGAGGGATGGAATGGCCCGTCTTCCAATGGCCCAGATCAAAAGAATGCCGCCAATGATGATCCATAGAATACCAACGTATAACATACCCCGGTCGTGGGAGCCGTAAACAAGATCAAGATATGCGCATGATCCAGCATCGTTGGTACAGGGGACAGCTCGGTCTGCATAACCCCAATGAGGCTCTAAGGACGAGGCTTCGCTGAGGTTCTGGATATGGCGAGCTGCCAACTGGCTCCTAAGATGATAGTCCATTCTGTAAGAGATGCCTAGCTTGTCGGTAGGTCGGCGCCTGAAATGGGGGCAAGCTTGCGAGACGTCAGCGCTCAGCGCCGTCTACGTAGGTTGACTTGCAGCGCAATGTAGGGTTGCATAAAGAACGAGGCCGTTCGCGTGTCGTTCTGCCGTCGCGAAGTATTGCCGAGGGAAGGAGGCTTGATGGCGAGATAGTGAGGAAGTAGGATGACGATCATCGAGCGAGGACTGTGCTGTATTGCCGATGATGGTCGTGGCGTGGGAAAAACCTAATACGGGAGCTGTTGGTCGTTCTGGGACGAGAGACTTTGAGATGACGGTGGACTAGATAGCGACATCCGGCGACGCATTTCTCTTAAGGCCCAGGGGACGATGTGGCAACGGTACTAGGTAAGTATCGTCGCATTCTCTGCACGGGAAAAACGGGACGAGGCGGGATTTGAGAGAGTTTATGGGGTTGGTCAGTTAATGTAAGGGTCTTGGTATGTTTCCGGTTTGGGGCGGCTCCGCGGTGTTTCGATCCGGGATGAGAAGCGGAGTTATCTTGATAGCCAGATGCCCCATACTAGGGCCGCTTCGGCGGTTGTTGACTTTCTTTTTGAGCAAGTTTGTGTGTCATCAAGAATGGGAGAGCTGTGATGAGCCAGTTGGCTAAGGTCCAGACCCAGGCTGGAGCCCGCGGTGAAGGGAGAGACAGGGCCTGGCCATGACGAGGTCCATGGATGAAAGCCGTGTGGTTCTGCCTTGACGCAGAGCAACAGCGGGGTTTATCCACGTCCTCGCTGAGCAAGACTTGAGGCCATATCAATCATATCAGCGGAGGATGGACTGAGACATTGAAGAAGCAATATCCGGCTAGGGACTGACCGTAGTGAAGCAGGTGAATCCACAGGACGCACTGATATGTCGCTGTTGGTCTTGAGATGGGAGCCAATAAGTTAGCTGACCCGATCCAGAAACACGGAACTTGAAGTGAAGGAAACGTGGAATGAGCAAGTTCGAAGTGAGCATCTTTGAGCAAGTTTCTGCCGGAAAGCGGGCCCGGGCCGGGGGCGTCGATCCACTAAGGAGGCCGCGGCGGGGTTGGCGCGGACACTACACTACGGTAACACTGAACAGGTGCGGTTCCAAGGCCCACTTGTTCTCCATAGAAGAAGTTGAGGCTCAGAGCGCATTCACATTTCTTCTTGCACCTTGATAGCATCAATAAGATGCGCCATGCCAGATTCCTGCCCCTACCACTCTGCTCTAATTATCCCATGGTGGTGTTTGAGCAAGTGCATTGCGCTACATTTTTCAATTGCAGTTTGAATTGTCATTTTTGAATAGGTTGCCCGGCGGGAAACGGTACCCACCCGCATCTGTACACGGTTTTTCGTGGTACCTTTTCCGTACTATATGGAGGTACCTTACGCAGTTAACCTCCGAACCGGCTTAGCGTGAGCAAGTTAGAGGGTCCCCTCCGCGCTCACCTCACGATGGCCAGTGGGAACCCAACTTGGCAATTCGACTTGGCAAAGCACCTGTCACTGCCACCTCAACTCTGATTTCTTCTGCCACCAATCATAAAGTCACTTCTCTAAGGGCACGTCAACTCTTCAGTCCCAAATCTGGACCCTTGTTCCCGCCTGTCTTGAAACTTGCGCACCACTTAGCTTACTAGGATCGATTCCCCCGCGACCCAGAGCTTCTGCTGGTCGCGTTTCCCACTGTTCGGTTCACCCGAACCCACTGCATGTCTGCTTGCTGCCGAACTCGCCCGTGCATCTTTCCTCTCGTTGCGGGGCAATTTAATCCTCTCGCTCACCCTGCGCTCCAACCTTTCAGCCTTCCGTCTTCGCATAGATAATAAGCCACCCCGGCCCTGACTCCTCCCTGCGGCGCCGGT